GAGTTTTTTCCCGGACCTCTGCGGCCACCATGTCCTGATACGCTCGGACAACATGTCCGTAGTCGCGTATCTGAATCACCAGGGGGGTCTGAGGTCGCGCCCTCTCTGCAGACTGGCACACCAGATCCTTCTGTGGTCCCAGGGGAAACTGTCGTCTCTCAGAGCGATGTCAAGTCAAGTCAAGTCATCTTCATTTATTTAGCGCTTTTAACAATGGAGATTGTTTCAAAGCAGCTTTACAGAGATAAACATACAATTTACGGTAACAGAGATTGTTTTGGCTTTATAGCGATTTTGAATTATGTTATTTCCGGCTAAAGTTGGTTTTGATTGATTCACTTCCAGCAAAATTATCATTTGTTATTACATTAGGGGCCATTAGGGGCGACGCCGTTCTCTCTAAACAGACTTTAAACGCGAACCTGTGACCGGATGGCGTTCACATGCGCATTAGAAATTGATTCTATAGTTATATTCGTTTCAATATGTGTGCGCAGGTTTGTAATTTCCCTACCAACCATGCCTAAACAAACTACTTGTCTTGCCTATATCTTTGATACAGAATTTTATTTTATCACTTCGGGGTATGTCCCGATGATGTATGTCCCCGGGGATCAAAATCAGAGAGCAGACATCCTGTCGAGGCAGGGGCTGAGGCCCGGGGAGTGGCGACTCCACCCCGAGGTGGTGGAGGCCATGTGCGTGAGATTCGGCCCAGTGGAAGTGGATCTTTTCACGTCTCGAGAGACGTCCCACTGTCCACTGTGGTTCTCTCTCAAGTATCCAGCTCCGTTGGGGCTGGACGCTATGACACAGACGTGGCCGAGGCTGCGTCTGTACGCATTTCCCCCGATCGCTCTGCTCCCGGGAGTCTTGGAGCGGGTCCGCCGGGAAGGAATCAGCCTACTTTTAGTAGCACCCCGCTGGGCGACCTGGATATGGTTCTCGGACATTGTAGCACTGCTAGACGGCCTCCCGTGGCAGGTCCCTCTGAGGAGGGATCTGCTGTCTCAGGCAGGGGGCACACTATTTCACCCCCGGCCAGAGCTGTGGAACCTCTGGGTCTGGCCCCTGAGGGGGCTCGGTACCTAGAGGCTGGCCTGCCAGCAGGTGTTGTCAAAACCCTACTTAGCTCCAGGGCTCCTTCCACTAGGAGACTGTACAGCCTAAAGTGGAATGTGTTTTCCACTTGGTGTAGAGAGCGTGAGGTGGACCCAGTTAACTGCCCAGTGGCTTCAGTGCTGGAGTTCCTCCAAGATCGTTTCTCCGCCGGTCTTTCCCCATCCACACTTAAGGTGTATGTGGCTGCCATTGCGGCTTTCCACTCACCTATAGGTGCTGGGCCTTTGGGAAGGCACCATATGGTTGTACATTTCCTCCATGGGTCTCGGATGATTAGGCCTGCGGCTCGCTCCAGAGTCCCAACTTGGGACCTGGCGGTGGTTCTTGAAGGGTTGGCTGAGGCCCCCTTTGAACCACTGGAGTCGGCTGAGGCAAAGAACCTGACCTTCAAGGTGGCCTTTCTCCTTGCCATCACTTCTCTGAGGAGAGTGGGGGATCTCCAGGCCTTGGCTATATCGCCAACTTGCCTGGAGTTTGCCCCTGGCGGAGTTAAGGCCATCTTACATCCTAGACCGGGCTATGTGCCCAAGGTGCCGTCTAGTGCGGCACGGTCAGTGGTTCTTCAGGCCTTCCATCCTCCACCTCATGGGACGGCGGAAGAGGGGAGACTTCACCTGCTCTGCCCAGTCAGAGCCCTAAGGATTTACTTGGAGAGGTCTTCTCAGTGGAGGAATTCAGACCAGTTGTTGGTGTGCTTTGGTTCACCCAAGAAAGGGCTGCCTGCATCTAAACAGACAATCAGCAATTGGATTGTCCAGGCTATAGCCACGGCTTATCAGGTGCGCAATTTGCCTTCACCTATGGCCGTGAGGGCACATTCCACCAGGAGCATGGCCTCCTTGGTGGCCCTCCTTTCTGGCGTCTCGCTTCAGGAGATCTGCGAGGCGGCCGGGTGGGCCACCCCGCACACCTTCATACGTTTTTACAGTTTGCAACTCCCCATGACGCCTGGCGCCAGAGTGCTCGCGTCCTAAGTGTGCCTGGTCTTCCAGCTTCACACTAGGGCAGGCGTGATTACGGTGTGGCATAGTGGGTATTTCGTTCCCAAAGTGTCATAACGATGACACAGTTCGAGTTCCCTCGAAGGGGAACGTCTCGGGTTACCACTGTAACCCTTGTTCCCCGAGAAGGGAACGAGACACTGCGTCTCGTCGCCACACCTATCACGTTCAGAGCGCTAGCTTCATCGCAAAAGAGCTATTGTTTGTATATGCCAGCGTACCTTTGTATCTTCCGGTTATGCCGTCATCTACTACGTCATGACGCAGCACCAATCAGGATTGGACAGATTTCATTCATGCTTCAGATGCATTACGCTAGGGGCGTTCCCAAAGTGTCATAACGATGACGCAGTGTCTCGTTCCCTTCTCGGGGAACAAGGGTTACAGTCGTAACCCGAGACGGTATCTCATACACATGTAACTCAGTTAGGACAGGTATCTCTCGTGAAACCCCTGTAAACACACACAGGTATCTCATGCACATGTAACTCAGTTAGGACAGGTATCTCTTGTGAAACCCCTGTAAACACACATAGGTATCTCATACACATGTAACTCAGTTAGGACAAGTATCTCTCGTGAAACCCCTGTAAACACACACCGGTATCTCATGCACATGTAACTCAGTTAGGACAGGTATCTCTCGTGAAACCCCTGTAAACACACACAGGTATATCATGCACATGTAACTCAGTTAGGACAGGTATCTCTCATGAAACCCCTGTAAACACACACAGGTATCTCATACACATGTAACTCAGTTAGGACAAGTATCTCTCGTGAAACCCCTGTAAACACACACAGGTATCCCATACACATGTAACTCAGTTAGGACAGGTATCTCTCGTAAAACCCCTGTAAACACACACAGGTATCTCATACACATGTAATATGCCATTTTAATAACTGACAGTACATTTCACTAATTACCTGTCTTTGTATAATAGGTTTAATGTTAAAAGAATCATTCACTTATCAGTGAAAACAAGTGCATAATTTTGATTCATGTATTACATTAATAGATCTCTGGGGTGATAAATATTTCTGGTCAGTAAAGAAAGGTTAAGTTCATCCACTCTTACCCTTACTACACACAACACAGTTTATTTTATTTTCGTTTTTTAATATTTTTGTTAAAGCTGCAGTCCGTAGCTTTTCCTCTTTGTCGCCATCTCTGTTTGAAGTCTGCAATTGCAGTCATTCGCGGAATTATTAATTTTACGTGAGTTGTACATCGGCATGAAACAGCGCAGATGAACACAATGTTGTGAGGAGAGTGCGCGTCGCGGCTGTCGGTCACAGCGCCGGTGTGGATACTGGCATTCAGAATCACACATACTTTTTGGAAGTACAGGATGACCAACATAAGAATTTTCACCGGAAAATGTCATCTGAACAAGTAAGTAACATTCACTTTTGTTCAGATCAACTACGGGGAAAATGCATTGATTGCACTGCAGTAAATCGCGCTGATTAAATCTAACGATCGCTTATCATGTCGAACCGTGCAAATTATACTTTGTTCTCAAATTGTTAATGTTAACAACATCAGCTTTGCGTGACTACATTTAATGTGTTTTATGGTTACCTGTAGTTCAGAATTCATATTCTCCATAATAGCTAAACGAGAAAGGCACAACAAAGGAAACTCCATAACTGTGTGAATTAAGCAAACAATTGTGGTACTGTTACACGATTGAACTATTGAAATGTCTTACTTGTCCAGCAGAAAAAAGCGTCTCTTCTTCCGTTTTGAACCCCTTCTAAACACGGAGTTCACGCACCAAACGCCCTGCCTATGTTCCTTGTGTTCACATGAGACGGTTGCTGTCTTTCTCTAGCCACTTTAAATCCGAAGTACGAAGTCTTTTGGGTTTTATAACTGGTGAATCTTCAGTTGACACTGATGATTGTCGTTTGGATCTTTCTGGATCCGCCATAAGTTCAATTATGTAAAGTGCTGCGAGAAAAGGCATCTCTACTCTCCCCAACGTCAACATCCTCACGCGCACTATAGCTAGCCGAAACTCCTTCTTTATGTGTACGGATGTGGCATAATGACGCAAAGACATGCTCGAATTTCCCGCGGAAATCCACCAGTGCCACTGGAAATAAAATCATTATTACAAGCTAACCGTTTTGAATCGAGCTACAGCAAGCAGAGAGTTTTGAACACTGGCTGAATATGTTTTTTTTTAAATAACTATTTTGGATTATTTTTAACTTGAAAAAAGTTACGGACAGCAGCTTTAAAAGAGTGACCGTTGATCCAGGTGTATACCAATATTTCAAATTGTTTTCGCGATTGTGCAATATATTAGCGTGTGACTTTGAAATAATTTACTTGACATGACATAAATAATCAATTTTAACCTTGTTTCTATTAGCGGCAGAAGAAAAAAAACGTTGGTGTATCCTCATACACTTACTGCGCATGACCGGTGACCTATGCAAATTAGGAATTAGGAGAACGCCTACTCTACAATGTCACAATTTTTACGCTGTACTGAAACCCCTGGAAATAAGTGACTGTCGGGTTCGTCACTTATTGGGTTCCCCTGGAAACATTTCCGTAGTCTGTGCTATTTGCAGTGTGTTTCTGTATTAGGTTGAGTTGTGAGTATTTGCAGCACACGTGTGTTGTGAAATTGATGAAAAAAAAAAAAAAGTTTATAGTAACTAACAAATGACTAAAAAAAAATGCAATTATTTATTAAACTAATTTTCCCTCCACCCACACAATAATTTGAAAATATTTATGAAAACTTGGTGCTTGTTTTTGTGCACTAAAGATGCTTTCACACTGGCAGTTCAGTATGAAACAGAGCATGGTTCGCCTAAAACACTGAAAGGTCACGTGAAAGCTGTCACGCGGACCGGGGAGCGCACATGTACACAAGTAGGGGATGACAGTGGTGATGACTTACCTTGGCTGTGAGCGAGAGTGAGCCAGCAGTGTAATCGTGCAGAGTGAGTGCAACACGTTTTCTTAATTAATTAGTCTTAATTCATATAAAAAACACTGTATATTGACCTGCATTTTGTGTTCTATCATACGCTGTGCATCAGGTTTCTTTAGAATCAAGTGTGTATGAAACCAGTCCAATCTGGGAACAATTGCACTCGGATTCGGACAGGAGCAAACATGCCCAGTGTGAAAGCCCCTATGGTTTTCCTATCTTTGTGCACTAAATTAGCTCTTCAAACTTTTCTCTATTTGCTGCTTCTTTGTTTGTGCACTACTTCTGCTCTTTCCTAGTAATTTGCTTCTCTCTATGGAGCACCGATTTGCTGCTTTTTTTAGCTAAGATTGCCACTCTGAAGTCTCCCTGCTGAATGGTTTGTGCTGATTTTCCTCACTTTGGAGCATCTGATGAATGAATGAATATAAAGAGCTTGTGCCTGCACTGCTTGGCATTTCACAAAAGTGATTTCTGTAATCATCTACCTTCCCTCCTAAGTTACAGTACCTGACTCCTGAGCTACTCGTGACATTGGTCCCTGCCGAAACCATTCATGCTGTAAGATCTCCTCTACAGTTGCTCTCTCGGTTGGTTCGCGAGTCAGGCATCGGCTTATCAAATCCTGGCATTCTGTACAAGTTTTCACAAGAGCACAGGTCATGTATAAACCTTGCATGTATTACGTAAAGGATTGTACTGATATTTCATGTGTTTCAAATGTTACTGTAATTGTGTTCTCTCACCTCTGGATATTCTGGAGTTAAACATCAGAGCACCATTATTCATATCTTCAAAACTTTCAAAGGGATGACGTCTGCACATCACTCTGTACATCATAACTCCCAGAGACCAGACTGTTGTTGGCCCTGCCTCATATTTTAAGATCTTGTAGTACTCAGGTGGGCGACATGCTCCTGTTCATTAAAAGCAAGAGATATTCAGGTTAAGCAAATATTTAATTTACAAAAGTCAACTTGTACAAATTTTCACATATCTATTCTTCGCTTCTATTAAATCACTACACACGCAAGACTGACACATCATTAGGGGCTTTCGCACCGGAGGAACCTTTTCATAGTTCCTAGAAAAGAAGTTCACGGATTTTGGCGTGTTCGCAGCGCAGGAACTGGGAACGATTTTAGTTCTAGGAACTCCTTTTGGAGGAACTAATTTAGCTCCTACTTCAGAGTCGGTCTAAACCAGCACTATAGGAACTATCAGTGACGTTAGTGTTCGCTGATTGGCTGAACACACGTGAAACACCAGCTCCCGCCATTTTTAAAAAGCTGTGTAAACACAGATTATAGCCTATTTACTCCATGAACTAACTCTACGAACATGGAAAACAGTGATAGACGGGCATCTTAACCTTTACACTGAGGAGAAAATACAAAGCAACTTTCAGGGGACCAAGCCAAACATGATTATGTATTTCTGCTCAGCTAGTGACACTGGACATCAACCACACAGCATACGCTAATAACGTATTAGACAGGACTGTTAGACAGATACTGGCGGTGCGAATGCAACCAGGAAACCGTTCCTTAGGGAACCATTAGTTCTCTATGCTAACACAAAAAATCCAACTGACCTGTAAATTCACCAAAGTAACCACTTTTGAGGAGGTCACCGCTGCCAAAGTCGATCATTTTGACTTGGTTTGTCGTTGTGTTGATCAGAAAGTTGTTTAACTTTATGTCACGGTGGAAGACGCCTCTGTCAAAACAGTGTTTGGCTCCGAGCACTGCTTGGTACATCAGGTCACGTGCCTGCGATTCATTCATTCGCAGTGCGTTCCTGACAACAAATCTCTGCAAGTCTTTACAGGGCTGCGGATACTCTAGGATGAGGATGTACTCATCTTCCTCTTCAAACCAGTCCAGCATGTGCACAATGTAGGGGCTTATTGGAGGCTGATTGAGCAGCAGGTTTAGAGCCACTTCTGCTAACAGTGGCTTGGAACACCCAGGCTGGAGAAAAGAGTCAAACAAAAGGTTAGCTGACTTTCAATATCACATTGCACTTGTATTTAAGATATATTATTTGTATTTAAATGTATGCATTGTTTTGCCAACTTACAATTGCAATACACCGGTCTTCTGTTGTTCTCTTAGGGATAAATTTGATGGCGACCTAAAAAAAAAGATATTGGCATTATAAGAAATGTTAATAAATGTAAATAATATTCCATTTAAATGTATTTTAAAGTCCCCCTGTGGTGAAAATCCAGATTTTAATGTTGTTGTGGTGTTTTTTCATGTGCAAATTCATAAGTCAACATCATTGCTGGGTATTTTCTGTTTAAAACTGCAGTGAGACACAGACCGTCTCAAAAACACGGTTTGAAATCGCTGGTGTTTCTGACGTCACAAATCGCCTTGTAACCAATCAGATCAACGTGTGATCGTCAACGAGTGGATCTCTGAGCTGGGGGCTGTTCCATAAACCAAGATTAGAGTATAAGCCAGGCTTATTTCGGTTAGTCAGGCTTATTTTTGGTAGATTCGGTTTCATAAATCAAACTTAAAAAAGTTCAAACTCAGTTACCCTGGCAACTTATGCTGGGAAACTAGCCTGGTCCAGGGCAGGCTAACTGTCAGGCTAAGCCTCAGTTGTTACACAGATCCTCAACACTGACCGACAAGAACACAATGATATTACCACTGACAGTCTCTAATACCATTATTGGACTTTATAAATACACAGTATACAGAAAATCAACTTAAATAAGGCTACAATATAGACACATATATAAGGCGTTTTAAAGTTGTCCGTTTAGGACATGTCATTTTTGTAATAAAGACATTTTAATTAAGGAATGCCTCGGTTATCAGAGAATTCTTTTTTCTACACTGTCTCATATATATATATATATATATATATATATATATATATATATATATATATATATTATGTACTTTATTATGTCTTTCAATTCAAACACATTTAACACAATTATACAAATGGACAGTTCCTTTAAAGACATTATTTTCCCCCAATAAATATTCCTTATTTTTCCTTCTACTTTTTTTTCTTTTGTGATAATACCAACACATACATATAAATAAAACAATAAATAAATATTAATAAAAATATAACATTCACATATATCAAACTCTTATAATGAATGACACATAATTCCTAATAGTTATTCAAGTAATATTATTTAAATATCAAATATTCAATATTAAATAAGTAGATAAATAAAATTACAAATAACTAGAAATAAAAGGGAAGGTTACATAAAAATGTAGTAAATGTAGGCCAATATATATTCCTTTATTTTATGGAATATTCTTTGATTTTAGAGTTGCACATATCTTTTCAAAATGTATACATTTGTTCTTAATTTAATGTTATCCTCTCCATAATGTACTTTAGAAACTAAATCTAACCACTCATTTAAAACTGGGGATTCTTGCTTTCTCAAAAAAAAATCATTGCATTAAAAGCTGCAATTCTCAGCATTCTAAATAAGTATAGGCCTATATCTTTATTAGCATAGGTCCTATACCCAAAACTATATTTTGTATCTTTATATATTTAGTTTCTTAAAAAAAATCTTCCCTGAATTAGGCTACTTCTGTTCAATTTTTTTTATTTAGGCCTATTAGAAGTATAAAATGAGTGTAATGAGCTAGAAGTTCACTGCAACTTATCCAACATCCTAAAGAGAAATTATTATAATTAGAAGATATTTCTAGTGTTCTAAAATATCGCATTTTAATTTTCCAAGCAAAATGTATATTTTTTTATCAGAATTATTGCGCTCCTATTTGGCGCGCATGCGCGCAGCAGCGCTCGTTCAATATGAAGATTAGCAGCAAAATGGATACATTTGCACGACTTTCTAACATTTACAGATGGAGAATATAACTGTAAAATGTAATTTTTGCACTGAGGGGGAAAAAAAAAACATGTCACAAATGCATAAAACAGCACAAAAACTACGCTGTTTGATGATGGATCGATTTGATCCACGATCGACCTCTAGGGCTGCTTCAGAAACGCGTGCACACGCAATTATCTAGACTAGATAAACCTGGATCAAATTAGTGAGATTGTGTGAACTTCAATTACCTTTTATGGAACCACTTTAGCCCCAACTTATTTGTTAGGCTCATTCAAGTCCGGTTTTGGAGTTTAATCCCCGCTTTTCTAAGCTTCATTTATGGAACAGCCCCCTGGTGTGAGTGAGTGGAGGCGGGGATAATTTGCATATTCATAGAATTGTGTATACTTACATTCAAGCTATTTTGAGGCATAGAACCTTTTTTTAAGGAAAAAAAAAACGTTTAAATGTGTAATTTTGGTGATCAAAGGTGTGTTTTAAGGCAGGGTTTCTCAACCTTTTGCCTACTGCGACCCACTTTTCTTTTGTATGCCAGTCATATGACCCACTACTAAATAAATCAATAACTGAAATGCCTATTTAGATCTAGGCTACACCGTAGGTCTATATGCTTATTATAATTAATGATAATCACGAAAACACAAACATTTTCAATAATTAGGCAGACTATGTATGAGGCAAACTGATTTTTTTACTCATGTTAATGTGATAGCCTACTTGAGACTGCCGCTCTGAAATGATCATAACCAGACGCGGTGGAATTTGGAAAAGTGTGGCTCGTAGTGTCGCACACAAATAACTGTTGTAAGCCTATTCCTGCTTTTTGTTTTCGTTGCAGTCACTGTTGAAAATCCCGACTCACAAAGATAGTAGTGCTAAATGGGAAGAGAAACTTCGTTGCACAATCTGCGAGTTGGTTTAAATCCAAGGAATGAAAATAGCCTACGATTCGTTGGAGGATCGACTACGTTTACATGCACAATGAAATGACTGAATTCATTCCGATTGATGAATCTGAATAGTGTTTACATGAACGCTAAATGTGATCGGGTTAATGTGCGCGTTTATATGTCACAAGATTCAAATCGAATTATATTTTTTTGACATGCGCACACTGCACGAATATACAGAGTTTCCCGCGGTTTGCGCATACTAACTATTCTCTTAGATTGGTTCTTTATTTGTTTTAAACAGCAGACTTAATATTTATCCATTGCTGGTCATAATTTGGAGACAATAAGCATATGAACCGTTGTGCCGTGCTGCTTATTTATCACGCAGTAAAAATGTCCAGCACCCAAAACCAGTCGTCTGTGAATGAGAGTCTGAAACAAGGACTGGTGGGACGTTGTCCTGCTCCACTTCACAGACGCTGAGTGAAAGGAGAATTTTAGAATGATGGTACGCTCATTTATACGACACTTTACTCAAAAGGAAGAACAGCTCGTTCAGCGCGTCATACATCATTATGCTATGCGCAGTCCTTTAGTTTCGGTTTTCAATCCGATCAAGCGTTTATGTCCTCCCAGTTGGATTAGAAAATGAATAAACCACCCCTTTCAATCGAATTGAAATTTTATTCGGATCAAGCTCAATCGGATCGATTAAGGTGTTTACATGAAGGCTTTTTAGTCCGATTGAACCGTCAATGCGTTTACTAACGGATTATTTGGATTTGGTTGCATGTAACCAAAATCCATTTGGTTGCCTGTTGCAATGAGCCTTTTGTGAAGCCCACTTATTGCCTGTGCCGGTTAACACAGAGAAAGTCTCGCGACCCCCTATAGAACGAACAACGACCCACTAGTGGGTCGCGACCTACTGGTTGAGAAACACTGTTTTAAGGGATAAAATGATTGACTACAATGGGACTTCAAAAAAGTTTTGGTTAAAGCACTGATCTATAAGGTACAGTTGGTGAATACAGCAAGATTGATTTTACCTGCTCGCGTCTAAATTTCGAAATCCCCTCGCAGACGGTGCCGAAGCCTCCTTCTCCAATCTCGTCTCCCACTTCATAAACCTCAGAAAACGGAACTGCAAAAAAGTACCAAAAGAACATGTTAATATATTAGATTCATAGTCTTACATGACCTGGAGACTAAATATGGTTAAGAAAAAAGTAAAACAGCAGGATAATCTTTAAGTAGGGAATCAGAAAAAAATTATACTTAGGGGTTGTTTACACGACACCGTTTTCAACTAAAACCGTAAAACTTTTTATTTGTTTTGGCCGTTCATTTACACGACAACTGCGTTTTGGGTGCCTGAAAACACAGACTTTTGAAAACGGTCCACGTGTAAACAACAAAAACGCTCTGAAGAATCTCTGTAGATGATGATGTCATACAAATGCGTATTACATGTTCAGTCTATAGTGTTTCATCGCCATCTAATGGCCTGACAGCAGAATACAGCGTTTTAGTCGTTTTCTCAGATCCGTGTGAATGGGGATCGTTCTGACAATGGTGTCGTCTGTACGCGGAAAACTCAAAGGAAAAACTTCATATCGTTGTCGTGTAAACGTACCCTAAGATCAGGAGTAAAAAATTCATCAGGATGACACATTACGTTAAACAAAGGTTGACAAATAGAAAAAGACTCACGGGTAGATGGGCCCGGAGAAGAGGCTGTTCTTAACCAATCTTGATCTCCAAGACGTCTCCGCTTGGAAGCAGCACCTGTAAGTTTTGGAGATCTTGGCTCAGGGCCAGATGGGCCTGGAAGAGGATCAGCTGGATCCTGCAGACCTGTAAGCACAAGGACATATGGTTCTACAACAGATGTTATCATTGAAGCAGCTGGATCTCGATGGTCGGATGAACCAGGCTGTTGGATCCAACTGAAGATCAGTCGGAACCTGCAGAACCGTTATCTCATGGACGGCTGGATCCAACTGAAGATCAGTCGGAACCTGCAGAACCGTTATCTCATGGACGGCTGGATCCAACTGAAGATCAGTCGGATCCTGCAGAACCGTTATCTCATGGACGGCTGGATCCAACTGGAGATCAGTCGGATCCTGCAGAACCGTTATCTCATGGACGGCTGGATCCAACTGAAGATCAGTCGGATCCTGCAGAACCGTTATCTCATGGACGGCTGGATCCAACTGGAGATCAGTCGGATCCTGCAGAACCGTTATCTCATGGACGGCTGGATCCAACTGAAGATCAGTCGGATCCTGCAGAACCGTTATCTCATGGACGGCTGGATCCAACTGAAGATCAGTCGGATCCTGCAGAACCGTTATCTCATGGACGGCTGGATCCAACTGGAGATCAGTCGGATCCTGCAGAACCGTTATCTCATGGACGGCTGGATCCAACTGAAGATCAGTCGGATCCTGCAGAACCGTTATCTCATGGACGGCTGGATCCAACTGAAGATCAGTCGGATCCTGCAGAACCGTTATCTCATGGACGGCTGGATCCAACTGAAGATCAGTCGGATCCTGCAGAACCGTTATCTCATGGACGGCTGGATCCAACTGAAGATCAGTCGGATCCTGCAGAACCGCTATCTCATGGACGGCTGGATCCAACTGAAGATCAGTCGGATCCTGCAGAACCGTTATCTCATGGACGGCTGGATCCAACTGGAGATCAGTCGGATCCTGCAGAACCTTTATTTCATGGACGGCTGGATCCAACTGAAGATCAGTCGGATCCTGCAGAACCGCTATCTCATGGACGGCTGGATCCAACTGAAGATCAGTCGGATCCTGCAGAACCGCTATCTCATGGACGGCTGGATCCAACTGAAGATCAGTCGGATCCTGCAGAACCGTTATCTCATGGACGGCTGGATCCAACTGAAGATCAGTCGGATCCTGCAGAACCGTTATCTCATGGACGGCTGGATCCAACTGAAGATCAGTCGGATCCTGCAGAACCGCTATCTCATGGACGGCTGGATCCAACTGAAGATCAGTCGGAACCTGCAGAACCGTTATCTCATGGACGGCTGGATCCAACTGGAGATCAGTCGGATCCTGCAGAACCGTTATCTCATGGACGGCTGGATCCAACTGAAGATCAGTCGGATCCTGCAGAACCGTTATCTCATGGACGGCTGGATCCAACTGAAGATCAGTCGGATCCTGCAGAACCGTTATCTCATGGACGGCTGGATCCAACTGAAGATCAGTCGGAACCTGCAGAACCGTTATCTCATGGACGGCTGGATCCAACTGAAGATCAGTCGGATCCTGCAGAACCGTTATCTCATGGACGGCTGGATCCAACTGAAGATCAGTCGGAACCTGCAGAACCGTTATCTCATGGACGGCTGGATCCAACTGAAGATCAGTCGGATCCTGCAGAACCGTTATCTCATGGACGGCTGGATCCAACTGAAGATCAGTCGGAACCTGCAGAACCGTTATCTCATGGACGGCTGGATCCAACTGAAGATCAGTCGGATCCTGCAGAACCGTTATCTCATGGACGGCTGGATCCAACTGAAGATCAGTCGGAACCTGCAGAACCGTTATCTCATGGACGGCTGGATCCAACTGAAGATCAGTCGGATCCTGCAGAACCGTTATCTCATGGACGGCTGGATCCAACTGAAGATCAGTCGGAACCTGCAGAACCGTTATCTCATGGACGGCTGGATCCAACTGAAGATCAGTCGGATCCTGCAGAACCGTTATCTCATGGACGGCTGGATCCAACTGAAGATCAGTCGGAACCTGCAGAACCGTTATCTCATGGACGGCTGGATCCAACTGAAGATCAGTCGGATCCTGCAGAACCGCTATCTCATGGATATATCTCACGGCTGGTTCTGGCTGAATCTGTGTCGGGCTGTGGACAAAGAGGAGTCTCCTTGTTGTGGTTTTTGTGTTGTGTTGTTGTGCATTTTAGACCCCAAGAATAAACATTTTCATGACTTCATAATTAACTAACATGCTGCAAGGGAATGGATAAATACACACACTTAAGAGTCACTAGACACAAGTGTTAAAAATCAGAACAAAATTAAAATGACAGTAGACTCACCTTCAGCAGGCTCAGGATCAGCTGGATTTGCATTACAGTTCATTGGCTTGACACTGGAAGGACCCGGCTGAGAATCAGTTTGATCCCGTAGAGCCGTCGGCTCGAGGCCGGATGGACCAGGATGGGGATCAACTAAATCTGTGTAGGACACAGGCTGAAGAGGAGCCACTTCGTTGCCTCGACGTCTACTTTTCACAGCCAGCCATGTATTTCTGAACAATGCCCAAAGGCTATTCTTCTTGCTTTTTGCTTATTTAAAAAATATATATATTTATATATTTCTGGTTATTATTTAACATTATACATTAACATTTTACATTAAACATGAAATGCCACAAACAAATTAAACTAACTTCATATTGTGTAGTTGAAAACGGAATTAAACATGCAAAACTATAATATATATTATATATATATATATATATATATATATATATATATATATATATATATATATATATATATATATTAATATATATATATATATATATATATATATATATATATATATTAAGGCACTTGGTTTAGGCATTTATCTGACAAAACTGTTTGGCAAAAAAATACTACAGCTATCCTATTCTACAGTTTACTATGCAAAAAAAAAAAAAATCTCACAACCAAAAGCATACATTGACTACAACATAATCATAAACATAATTGGTTTTCTCTTGTTTTTGCCTGCATTTATTATTTCCTTGTAGGGTATGAGAGCCTGTCCGCACAATTTGACGTTTCATTGCGTTATCATAAAACAACTGACTCCAAAGCCCAATTATGCAATATTCTATAGAATACATTCTATAAAATCCTTAGTATTTTTTTAAAATCATACTTTTGAATAAAGGGTGAAGATGTCAATTTCCGTAGGCTGGACATCAGGTTTAGCCTTTTAGTGTGTGTGTGTGTGTGTGTGTGTGTGTGTGGCCTGGTAAACCCTACTTTATGAGGACAAAAAGTCCCCACCAAGATGGAAATATCATACTAATAATCATACTAAGTGATGTATTTTTGTTTTGTTTTTGAAAATGTAAAAAAGCTAAAAATGTTGATAGGTTTAGGGTAGGGATAGTGTAAGGGGAGAGAATATACAGTATAAAAATCTATGGAAAGTCCCCATAAAACATAAAAGCATTTCACAAAATGAAGTTTGTTCCATGAAATGTTGGGCTGTTGTTGTTGTTGGGCTATTTACCTGTTGGGCAGTTCTCCATAGCCGCTGCTGTTGAAGAAGTTTCTCCAGCTGTCAAAGTGTTATCTGCTGGCATTGGACAGTTAGTGTTGAGATTCATACACACCAACACAGGAGAAACGCAAGTGTTTATAATGAAGCTTTAAACTCGCAAGTCTTCGCTTCTGCTCGGACTCACACTGCACTGGAGCTGCACTATGACGTCACGGATTCTGTGACGTCCGCGCGCGTTTAAATTGGGCGCGCAGTGCAGCCTCGCACATGCACAAACACATTATATACTGCCTTCAAGTGCACGCAGAAATGTCTTGTTTCCCACTTGTTTTTTTTTTTTTGCCCGAATAAAAATTAATCGTGGAAGATGGTGTTCTGAAATATTCGGTGCCTGAGATTTTCGTTGACACTGCGGACATATTCACGAGTTTCCTGTTTTGTGTTATACCACTGGAAATATTAGTGCACGCCCCTCGCCTTACAAAAAGGTATTAGTCTATGTTTCAGAGTTTAACGAAGTTATCTTATATTCTAACTGTTATTATGTTTATATGTAGGCTATATTGTGTTTTGTCTGGTCGTGTCTTGTGTTTAATATGATCAAAAGGTTGGTATGATTACAGTATTTACCAACCAGAGGATACGCTAAACGAGCCAAATGCGTTTAATAGCCTATATTTGTATTATGTTTTACAAGTATCGTTTTATAAGTTTGCTGAAATGTATGATGTCATGGTAATATTAATTAAAGCAGTGAACAATTAAGGCAGCAGTGAACTTAGTTTGCAGAAGCACTTCTAATATGGTTAGACTTGGATTTCTTGTGTTATACAGCCCATTTCCCAAAACTGCACACATGCATGAACACATGTT